TATAAACACACACTCACTATAATCACACACTCACTATAATCACACACTCATTATAATCACACGCTCACTATAATCACACGCTCACTATAATCTCACACTCACTATAATCACACACTCACTATAATCACACACTCATTATAATCACACGCTCATTATAATCACACATTCACTATAAACACAAACTATAATCTCACACTCATTATAAACACACACTCACTATAATCACACACTCACTATAATCACACGCTCACTATAATCACACACTATAATCACACATTCACTATAATCTCACGCTCATTATAAACACACACTCATTATAATCACACATTCACTATAAACACACACTCATTATAATCACACACTCACTGTAATCACACACTCATTATAAACACACTCATTATAATCACACATTCACTATAATCTCACACTCATTATAAACACACTCATTATAATCACACATTCACTATAAACACAAACTATAATCTCACACTCATTATAATCACACACTCACTCTAATCACACACTCACTATAATCACATGCTCACTATAAACACACTGCATTTCTTTCATCATCCCAAGATGTTTTTTTTTTAACTTCTTTCTTTCTTTCTTTCTTTTTCTTTCTTTCTTTCTTTCTTTCCTCAATCTGTCCACCAGTTTCTTTCATTCTCTTCCATTCTTCTTCTCCTTCTTTCTCTTATTATTGTTTCTTTTCTATTTTTTTTCTTCCTTCAACCCCTCAAACTATTCTTTCTTTCTTTCTTTCTTTCTTTGTCATTAAATTTACACGGGGATGTTTGTGTGTGTGTAATCTGCATCCCTCCACCCTGCAGCACTGTATAGTATAGTGCTAAGAGCTTAATAATTAAATGTCACCTGGAATTTGAAAGCACACCTTCAATCGCTAAGCCTCCATAACATAAAGCTCTTTTTTTCTGATTAATATAACAGTAATAACTGTGAAAGTCTTTCTAGTAAAAAATGGCCACTCAGCTGCGATCTTGTGACACTTCCAGAAGTTAATGAAGACAGAAAGAAGGGATTTGAAATCTCTGTTATAATGTGACAAAAGATGTGCAAATATTTTGTCTTTGTCTCCAATAACTTAAAAAATTAGTTTATAATTTTTATTTATTTATTTATTTATTTATTTATTTACAAAATTCGTTTGCATAGTTAATGTTGTTATGTAAGAACTTCTTGTGAGGACACAAAAACAAAAAAAAGTTCCTTTTTTAAAATAAATATAACAGGAAACTGATTTTTTTATTATTATTATTATTTTAGCGTTATTTGTTTTATTTATTTCTTATTTCTCTCACTGAATAAATCTGGCTGTGCTAACCCACTACATGCTCTGTGCCAGAGTCATTTTTATATGAGACCAGTTCTTATTTTTGTTCGCCAGTCCAGAAACAGATGTACTCCTTAGATTTGTTAAATATTTATGTACAATCACAAAATGTACTACATGGAACAATTTGTTTGGACACCTAATAAAAAAAAAAAAAAAAAAGAATACTTGGGTCCTAGAAACAGTACTGCCTTTACTGAGAGAAAACTTGTTTGTTTTGTGTTTGTTTTTTGTTTGTTTGTTTGTTTGCTGGTTTTTTAAATTTACTTTGCTAGTTTCTACAATTAAAGTTACTGCAGCTACGTTACATAAAAATGTTCTCAGAAAATCCAGAAAACTTGAAGCAGGAAAAAACCCTTCTTTGAACCGTAATATTTAAGAAAAATTTCGCTAATCTAGAATTGTGAACTGGGAAACCTCACACCAACAGATTATTTTTCGTCGCTATTTTCTTCGTTGCGTTCATGTCATATGAGGGAAAAAATGTCTTTCCCGGTTTTTCCAATTGGGAAAAAACATTCACAGTATTTTACTTTCTGACTGCTGGGAGTTATCTGAGCAAAACCTGAAACGGGGCAACCACAAACACGTCATGGTGGTGAGGAGTTAGTTAACATTTCAGTTTATAATACAGTTGATGTTAATGCTAGCTAATGTAGGCTGTAGTAGGCTGCGAGCAGCTATGCTCTGAGTCGCATACTCACATACACACACACACACAGACGAACACACAAACACACACACACACACACTGGTAGCCTATCGATCATGCCTCGGCCTCCCGTCCATGATCCCTAATTGCTCGATTGATTCCAGGCTGGTCAAATGACAAATGTACAGGTTTACAGATGGACCAGAGTGCCCTTAATCAATATGGACAGCTAAAAAAAAAAAGTGGTGCGGAAAAAGCCAGATTAAAGAAGAGAAAGGCGTTAGAGGAAGACACAAGTAAACACGCCAAATTTACAGACTTGTTTACGACAGCAACAAGCCCAGATGGGAGCGATGCAGCTGCTGAGACAGGAATCTATGTCACTCACAGTGTAGCACATGATACATGCTACTCTAGCAATGAGTATAAATGCAAATTACCCACAGAGAAAAAGTCACAGGAGATACTCTACTGCTTTAAATCATGCCAAGCTTATACAGTGCATTCAGAAAGTAGTCAGACCCCTTCATTTTTTTCACATTTTATTATGTTGCAGCCGTATGCTAAAATATTTTAAATTAGTTTTTTCACATCAATCTACACTCCATACCCCATAATGACAAAGCAAAAACCAGACTTGGGATAACTTAAAAAAACTGAAATATCACATTGACATAAGTATTCACGATCTTTGCTATGACACTTGAAATTTAGCTCAGGTGCATCCTATTTCTCTGGATCATCTTTGAGATGTTTCCACATTTTGATTAGAGTCCACCTGTGGCAAATTCAAATGATTGGATATGATTTGGAAAGGCACACACCTGTCTATATAAGGTCTAACAGCTGACAATGTATATCAGAGCAAAGACCAAGCCCTGAGGTCAAAGGAACTGCCTGCAGAGCTCAGAGACAGGATTGTGTTGAGGCACAGGTCTGGGGAAGGCTACAAAAAAAATTTCTGCTGCATTGAAGGTTCCTGAGAGCACAGTGGCTTCCATAATTCTTAAATGGGAGAAGTGTGGAACAACCAGGACTCTCCCTAGAGCTGGCCGCCCGGCCAAACTGAGCAATCGGGGGAGAAGGGCCTTGGTAAGAGAGGTGACCAAGAACCCGATGGTCACTCTGGTTGAGCTCCAGAGATCATGTGTGGAGATCAGAAGGTCAACCATCACTGCAACTCTCCACCGATCTGGGCTTTATGGCAGAGTGGCCAGATGGAAGTCTCTCCTCAATGCAAGACACATGGAATTTGCCTGCCTGGAATATGACTGTGACTGTGAGAAACAAGATTCTCTGGTCTGATGAAACGAAGATTGAACTGTTGGCCTCAATTCCAAGCATCATGTCTGGAGGAAACCAAGCACCGCTCATCACTTGCACAATACCATCCCAATGGTGAAGACATGGTGGTGGTTTGGGAGTGTTTTTCAGTGGCAGGGACTGGGGCATTGGTCAGGGTAGAAGGAAAGCTGAACGCAGCAAAATACAGAGATATCCTTAAGGAAAGCATTTTCCAGAGTGCTCAGGACATCAGACTGGCCCAAAGGTTCACCTTCCAAAAGAACAATGACCCTAATCACATAACCAAGACAATGCAAGAGTGGCTTAGGGATAACTCTGTGAATGTCCTTGAGTGTCCCAGCCAGAGACTGGACTTGAACCCAATCGAACATCTCTGGAGAGACCTGGAAATGGCTGTCCACCGACGGTCCCCATCCAACCTGACAGAGCTTTAGACGATCTGCATAGAAGTTGTTGTTCATTTTTTGGCTGCTCCCGTTAGGGGTCACCACAGCAGATCACTGGTCCTCATATTTGATTTGGCACAGTCTTTACACCGGATGCCCTTCCTGACGCAACCCTCCCCAATTTTATCCGGCCTTGGGACCGGCACTAGGAGTGCACTGTCGTGTGCTGGGGTTGGTTCCCTGTCCGGGAATTGAACCCGGGCTATAGTGGTGAGATCGCTGAGGCCTAACCACTAGTCCTCCAGGGACCCAGGATCTGTAGAGAAGAATGGCAGAAAATCCCCAAATCCAGGTGTGCAAAGCTTGTTGCATCATACCCAAAAAGACTTAATCACTGCCAAAGGTGTTTCAACTAAGTACTGAGTCTGAATGCTTATGTCAATATGATATTTCAGTTTTTTTCTTTTTAATAAATTTGCAAAGTTATAAAAAATCTGGGTTTTACTTTGTCATTATTGGGTATGGAAAAATCAATAATTATTATAAAAAAAATAATTCAAAGCATTTTATGTTACATAAGGCTACAACATAACAAAATGTGAAAAAAATGAAGGGGTCTGAATACTTTCTGACTGCACTGTAGCTTGACAAGCGACAATTACAAGGTAGCCTATCTTTCCTTCATCTAAAGGCTACTTTCAGTTTAGTGTTTAGTCATTTTAGCATCAAGGAATTTTCAAAACATGACTGATTTGTTCCTTTCAGATGTACTTTTATGTATGTTTTCTATTTAATCTCGACATTCATTAACCTAGTTCATTCATTGTTCACAATTTAAATTATCTGTACAATTCTCTGTGTTGTAGTTGGTGTCTACTGTGCAATATCTTTGAAAATAAATAGTCAAAAGAGTTTCAAACTGTGGATTTGGCACGGTGGACATCCCGTGTGAGTGTGTGGGCTGCACATAGAGGCCACATGCGTGGGCCGCTCAGATGACATTTCCAGGCTGAAAATCAGTCCCACTCTGGCCCTGACTACAGCCGCCATTTTCATCTAAACAAAACAGCAACGGAAAAACTCCCATGAAGTCAGAAATAGCAGATGTTTTCGAGTTATATTTCAGATTAAAGTGTGAAACACACTGACGGAATGTTGGACGGTTTCAATTCCAACTGACAGCTGATGATGTCATAACGGGCGTTAAAGCAGCCGACCAATCAACAGCTTCGATTCAACTCGCACTCAGTGGATAATGCTCACTAATTACAATGTCTTCTTTCTTCCCACAATCTTTCTGTGTTTCTTATTCCTACTTTTCTTTACCTTCTCTTTCCTTCTTCCTCTGCCTTCCTTTCTGTTCTTTTCTTCCTGCTTCCTTCCGCTCTTTCCTCAATCCCTCTACCAGTTTCTTTCATTCTCTTATCCATTTTCTGTATCAGTATCTATCTGCCTCATTGTTTCTCTTTTTCTTTCTTCTTTGCTTCCCTTCTTTTATCTTCCTATAGTCCTTCAAATGGTTCTTTCTTTTCTTTATATTTTTTCCTGCCTCTTTCTTTCTTTCCTTCCTTTTTACCTCCTTTCTTTGTTTTCTCAGTTGCTTTATCAGTTTCTTTTGATCATTCGTTCTATATTTTTCTTTTTTTCTATCTGCCTTATTGTTTGCCTTCTTTTTCTTTATTCACAGCTTCCCATTTCTTGTCTTCCTTCAATCTTCTTACCATCTCTTTTCTTTCTTTTTTATCCCTTTTTTCTTTAAATTTTTCCTGTTTTTTCTGTTCTTTTCTTCTTACTTCCATTCTTTCCTCAATCCCTTGACCATTTTTTGTTCTCTTCCTTCTTCCCTTTTCTCTTTTTTTCTTTATCTCTCATTGGTTTCTCCTGTTTTTTTTTCTTATTTGCTTCCATTCTTTTTTCGTACTTCAGTCAAACTATTCTCAAACTATTTTTCCTTTTCTTTCTTTCATCCCACCATCTTTTTTGTTTCTTTTTTTATCACTATTTCTTTTATTTTTTCTTTCTTTTTTTTCCTCCAGCTGTCTTTTCTTTCGTTCTGTTCCTGTTTTTCCCCCCACTGTTTCTCTTCCTTTTCTTTATTCTTTTGTTTCTTTTTCTTTCTTTGACCCTTCAAACTGTTCTTTCATTTCTTTATATTCTTTCCATCTTTCTTTCTATTTATTTTTTCCTTTCGTGTTAACTTTAGACTAGTGTGTGTGTGTGTGTGTGTGTTCTGGTTCCCTCTACCCCACAGTGCTCATACAGGTGGATCTCCTGCTCTTTGGTTCTAGTGCTTGATCGCTGGTTTGGAACACGTCCCCCAGCCCCCACCACTGACATGACACACAAAAGAGTTTAATCCCGTCTCAGAGGGGTGGCAGGAGGGCACGACTCTCTTACCACACACACACACACACGATTTATGGACAGAGGAAACAAAAGAGAAACTCTCCCAGTAGATGGCGGCCATTTTAGAGGTGTTTCGGTGGCAAGTGTGTTTCCTGCAGGAAGTGACAAACACACACACACACACACACACACACACAGGCAGAACAGGAAAGAAGGAGATGGGAAGGAGACACACTCTCTCTCTCTTTTAATTACAATTTTCCATGCTTCAGGTATATCTGCCTTCTTCTCTCTTTTCCCTCCTCTTTCTTTCCATTCTCTTTTTCTCTTTCTTTCTATCCATCTCTGTCCCCCCCCCCCCCCCCCCCCCCCCCCCCCCAGTTTCCCCTCAGGCGTTTCTTACTTTCTACCCCCACTTGTCCTTCTCTATGTCTTAGTCTTCTCCTCTCTCCCTCTATTTCTCTCGCTTTACATTCTTCCCTGAAAACTTTCCCCTGCTACTTGTTTTCCTGCTATCACTTTTTTCCCTGTCCATCTCTCTGACCCTCAGATTTGTTTTTCTGTCTTTCTTCCTCTCTCTCTCTCTCGTTCTCTGTCACTCTCTCTCTCTCTGTTTAAAATGGCTGAACTCCTCCCACTTTTTAGGGTTAGGGAAGGGGGAGGTGCATGTGTGTGTGTGTTCGTTCATTCTTTAAAAAGCAAGGCTACAGATTGTCCTTGTGTGTAACCCCGGGTCTTTCACACGTTCACCTCTCCGTCCCCCATTCATCTGTTCATCTGCTCATCTTTTTTTTTTTTAAAAAAAAAAAAACAGTTTGAACCTTTTCACTTGATCATTTTATGTAAAAATTCACATGTGAAAGCAGGAAGGAAAAGGAGTTAAAGAAGGAGAAGTTAAGGAAAATAGTGGAAGAAATCAAGTAAAAAAGAAAGTAGAGAAAACAGGAAAAAAGATGGAAAAAATTAAAACAAAAAGAAAGAAAGAAAGAAAGAAAAAGAAAGAAATAAAGGAGAAGCAATGAAAGGTGATGAGACTGTAGAGGAAAAGGAAAAGATGGGAAAAGGGGAAAATGAAATGGATGGGAAAAGAAATGAAGGAAAATAGATCGAGGAAAAAGAGAAATAATAAAACAATACAAAGAAGAAAAGAAAAGAAGTTAAAAGGGATACAATGGAAAAGGGGGAAAAAACACCAAAGAATACACTAAAGATTTAAAAATAAAGATAATAAAAGAAAAAAGGTGAAGCTGAAGGAGAGAAAAAAGAGGGAAGACTACGGAGGAACAAAGTGAATGAACAAAAAAAGAATAAAATAACAAGAAAAGCAAGTCGGTAGAGGAAAAAAGAGACAAGGGAGAAAAAAATAAAAGGAAAAAAAACAAAGAAAAAAAAAGAAAATGAAAGAAAATGGTGAATTAGAGAAAAGAAAGATAATGAGAGTAAGTAAAAAATAAGTCCGTATGTAAAACTAAAATCCTGTTTACTTACTTAATTAAATGTAAAACATGAAAATGTCACTCAGGAATCTCTTTTCACTTTCATTTGGTTAAAGTATTTAATTTAACGTTGATACACTTTGCATATTGTAGATGCTAGTTCATAATGTTAGCTGCATAATGCTAATTGATATTTGTTAGTTCAGTCACAAACTCACAAAAAAAAAAACACGAAAATCATGTACAAAATTGAAATAAATGATGAATGTTCCAAATTTTTAGTAGCATCAAACAGAATTTTACCTCAGAATCGATGCTAACAGCTGCCTGCCAGATTCCTTAGTTTCGCTAGCTTCAGCTTGTATTTTCTGGTCAACAACAACTTAGTTTAGCATTAATGCAAACAATGTGGCTTTATTAAATGTAAAAATGTGTTGATTTTGATGAAATGAGAGAAAAAAACACACAATGTGTGTGAAAATCCTGAAATGAATTCTATTTAGCATGATGTTTGCATCATGTTTTCTTGCACTGGTTTAGTCAGAATGTTAGCATGTTATTCATTCAACTCCTGTAGCTAATGTTTTTTGCTAAAATATTTTTTTTAGTGTGCTGAAATGACTGTGCAGCTTAATGACTCATTTTTCAGCTTAATGACTCATAGAATTTTTGCTAACACTGAAATAGAAAGGTCAAAAATCAATACAGCTAACTAAGCTAACACTATTTGCCTACTTGCTTGCATTGTTTATTAGCAATGTTAGCTTTTTTTTTTAATTCACTAAAATACTGTAGCAGTTAATATTTTTATTCAAAATTATTTGACAGTTTCTTTCACCTTTAAACTATTTTAAACCTATTTTAAAATAGTAAAATATTTAGAAAATAACTAGCAAGCTAACTAATGAGGAAAGTAACAACACAACCACACAAACAATTGAACTGTTTTTTTTCCTTCAGTTTAGTTAGTGTGTGAAATTGTGCTTCTTTTGATGTGAAAAGTTCTGATCCCAAAAAACCTGTGTACAAAAGTGTTAAACATTATGTAACTTGGAAAAAAAAAAGTTATCAAAACTATCCTTATAACTACAGTTATTATCTAGTTATAATAATATAGCTATTATAGATAGTTATAATAATATAGCTATCCTTATAATTACTATTTCTCTCAGGTCCAACAGGATTAACCAGTTGATGTTGTAAGCCATGATGTCACATCCTCTGAAGTGAATCATTAAGCCTGTGGCGTGAAATAATAAATGACGTCACAGTGCTGCCACCTGGTGGTACCCCCATTCACTGTAATCACTGACAATGTGTGCTGCTTTTCCAGTCTGAAGTCTATTCATTTGATGAAGCAAAAAAAAAAAAAAGTTTTCTATGATTACATCTTATGCAGGTGAGTACAAAAGTTTGTGCACCCTTTGAAGAAGACAAAGAAATGTGCAGCAGCAAAACATTTAGTGTGTCACATCTCATGTTCCTTTATTGTAAATCGCACAAGTCAAATAATTGTGTAGGAAAAA